TAAGCAAATCTTTAAATTTGTTGAACTTATTTTTACACAAAGGTTTAGTAAATATATCTGCGATTTGATTTTCTGTTGAGCAGTATTGAATTTTTAGCAAACCTTCTCTTAATTTTTCGTATAGGAAATGATACCTTACGTCTATATGCTTACTGCGTTTAGTAAATTGTCCATTGTTAATTAATTTGATTGCACTCTGATTATCAATGTTTAACGTAATTTGCACTTGAGCACTCACTAATTCTTCGATTAACGTTTTCAGATAAATCAATTCCTTCGCACAATCTGCTGCTGCTATATATTCAGCTTCCGTCGTAGATAACGAAACCAACGGCTGCTTCTTTGAACACCACGAAATTGGTCCGCCACAGTAATATATAACATACCCGGTGGTACTTCTACGAGTCTCTACGTCGCCTGCAAAATCTGAATCACAATATGCAATAAGATGCACATTATCATCTTCGTTGCTAAACTCAATTCCTTTACTTTTCATTGTATTTAGATATCTAAAAATTTGTTTGACATTCGAGATGTCTGCTGTACTTGGGTTCTCTATTTTTCTGCTTAAGTAGTTAGTTGCGTATGATATATCTGGTCTGGTTTTACTCGATAAATATAGCAAGCTGCCAATCGCTTCACGATACGGATAGTTCTTTGTTGATTTTTCGCACAAAACCTTCTGGTCACTGTTGATCGGTGTATCGGCAGGCCTCGCTTCACTCATTTGAAAGTCTTTTAGGATTGATTTGGTGTATTTTTCTTGACAGAGTATAACCTTGTTATCCCTTGTTATTACATCGATACCTAAAAATGAATTCACATTTTCGTGTGTAACGATTTCAAACTTTGTGTGTAGTTCTTCCAGTAATTTATTGATTTTTGATTCGTCATTGCCCATGATTATACCATCGTCTACATAAATTCCTAAGTATAGGTCGTCGTTTTCACTTCTGAACACACACGGTTCTGTTTTTATTGCTGTTAAACCGAACATCTGTAACGCACTTGTGAAATGCTTATTCCATCGTAATGGCGCTTGCTTCAAGCCATAAAGAGCCTTTTGTAGTCGACAGATTTTATTGTCTCCATCATATCCCTCTGGTAATTGCATGTAGATTTCATCAAGTAATGCGCCATACAGGAAAGCCGTTTTTATGTCGAATTTTTTCATTATGTAGCTATTCTTGGCACCTAAAGCAAACATTATTCTTAATGAACTTATGTTTATTACCGGACTGAATGTTTCAAAGTAATCTACTCCATATTGTTGTTGACATCCACGCACGACTAGACGTGCCTTATATCGACCATCTGATTTTACTTTGAATATCCACTTGCTCGTTAGAATTTTCTTTCCTTCAATTTGTGATTTATCGACAGGAACCCAAGCATTGTTTTTCGTTAAAGATGCCTTCTCTTCTTCGATTGCTTCTTTCCATTGTTCACTTTCTGGCCCATTCACAGCTTCATTGTACGTTAGTAGAACATAGTCTTCGTAGCGTTTTGGTAATTTAATCACTCTGCGTTCTCTTGTAAGTTCTTCATTTACTGTAGTATCACCAGTCTGGTCTATTATTGGGCTGCATTCAATGTTTTCAGGTATTTTCTCTTCGTTCTCGTGTGGACGGTCATTTACCACTTGAACCACTGCATTTTCCTTTCCACCTTCGTTTTGGTTCTGTTTAAATATAACATCACGTGAAATTACCACTCTTTTTTTATTAGGATCAAAGAGTCGATATCCATTAGTAGCGTATCCAATGAATATATATTTCATGCTACGTACATCGAGTTTTCTCAGGTAACCTAAAACTTTCGCATAAGCTTCGGCCCCGAACAGCTGGAGATTTGATAGGTTAGGTCTTCTACCGGTCCAATTTTCAATAGGTGTTACTTTAGTCACACAGGAAGTGGTAGGTGTTCTATTAAGTAGATACGTAGCTGTTCTTATTGCTTCACCCCAATATTCCTTGGCTAGCTGCGAGTCAAATACTAACGCCCTAGCTTTTTCCATGATTGTTCTGTTTAATCGCTCCGCTTTTCCATTCAGTTGAGGCGAGTGAGGAATTGTGTAATCCAGAATTATTCCCTTTTTTATACACCATGTTTTTATATTTTCATTTTTAAATTCACCTCCATTGTCACACCTTATTTTAGACACTCTGAGGTTATGAAGAGCTTCCGCTTCTTCCACAAACTGTTTTATGTAGTCTATTACTTCGCTTTTCATTGTCAAAAGGTACGTTGCACAATAATGAGTGTAGTCGTCCAGTATAACTAAAAAATATTTCTTTCCGTCCCATGTGATTGGATCAATTGGCCCGCACACATCCGCATGCAGTATTTCCAACGGTCTTTTGGCTCGATATCTTATTGTATCAAATGGTTGTCTTATTTGTTTAGCCTTTAGACATATTTCGCATACCTTTTCCAATTCCTTACATTCATTTTTGGAAAGATTCAGGTTGTCGGAAACATCAATCAATTCTTTCATTGTTGCCCCACTTAGATGACCTAATTTTCTATGCCAATCTTGTACCTTTTCGTTGTTTTCGGCCAGCATACTTTCGACATCAGATGTTGACGACAGTTTTACCGTATATAAACCATTTTCTTGTTTACTGCCTTCCAGCACAACTTTATTAAGCTTAGTTATTACTACTTTGTCTTTTGCAAAAGTCACATTTCCACCATTCTCTGTTATTGCACTAACAGATAACAAGTTTTTTCTTATTTCTGGTACGTACAGCACATTGTTTAACACACAAAGCTTCGCCGACAATTGTACCTTTGCCTTGTGCTTCAATTGTTTGATTTTTCTTTGCCACAGAGATTTCACTTTGAATTTCTTCTAAGTTTTTGAACATCCTCTTATCGTTAGACATGTGTGAAGATGCACCAGAGTCCACCACGAAGTTGTTACTGACGTTGAGATTTCCAGTTGTTAAGAATGCTACTTTTCCCTCCTTTTTGTCTTCTGGTTCTTCCTTTTTTCGAAAGAAACAATTTTCTTCCCTGTGATTAGTTTTCTTGCATATTTTACACTGCTTCATTTTCGATCTACAATCTTTTGAAAAATGGCCTGGTTTTCTGCACGAATAGCAGATCTTCTCGGTGTAATGTTTCCTTATGGGTGTTGCATCCTTTGTACGTTTTTCCACAGCTTTGAATGCCACATTTTCTTCAGAGTCTTTCTTCATTCGCGATTCTTCTGCAATTAACCTTGCAGTGAGATTGGTTAAGTTTCTTTCAGCAACAGGAGTTGATTCCCAGACAGTTGCGAAATGTTTATAGTGTTCCGGGAGTGTCGACAATATTTTAGACATCAACATCTCGTCAGTTATGTCTTGCTTTAATGATTTTAACCGGAATGCAAAGTTTTCCATTTTACTAATATGTAGCGACATGTCCGAGTCTTTTTCATATTTATAGTTGAAGAATTCCTGTAGCAGGTTACATTTTTGTTGTTCACTGTCCTTTTGGAAAATAGTGCATAATTTTTCAAACATTTCATGCGAATTGTTACAGTTTATGATGTGCATTATTAATTTCTTGTCGATAGTAGTCATTATCACTTTTTGTGCACGCGCGTCTTTTTTGACCCATGTTTCTTTGTCATCATCCTTTGTTAGGTCTGTAAACTTTTTGTTGCCATTTACGATTTCATAAGACCCGTTGGCTTTAAACAGTATGCTTGTCTGGAATTTCCATACTTGGAATGTTTCAGCTCCCATTAATTTATCTATTAGAGTAACATCTTCTATTCCCATTATCGACGATGACGCCATTTTTCAACAAATTTATCCGTTTTTGGGTTTTTTTAACACGCACAGTTTTTTTTAAACGCACACAGCTTATGTTTTAATAATTGTATTTTAGAAAGAAAACGTCTGGGCACATAACCTGTTTTAATTATTTTATTTTAGGTAAAGTAAAATTTATTTGACACACCTAATAAGTACAAGTACAAGGTACAACTTATCTACCAACTATTGGTTTTCTACATTGCCAACATATTTTAAACTAAAGTAGCAGTGATGCCAACAATTACTTTCAACAGTATTACTATGCTAGTCAGCTAGTGTTCGTGTTTTTCCCGCAATAATGGCAATATCCGCGACTTTTCCTTCACCTGCCGATCACGGTCGAGTACGGTACAAATCCAATTGTCAATTGATGCGACGCCGCTGTCTTCTCTGTTTTATTGAGAAACTGGTAACTAATTCATACCCATACACAAAATTGCCAATGCTAAAATATAATTTAGCACATCTTTCCGCCCCCCAGAAAGTGGCTCCCTAGCCCAGTTAACCCATATCACGGATTAAATCTGTGCCCATATATAACCCGGGGATTGTGATGGGGATTTTACTGTTTTATCATAAAAATCATTCTTACAATAATGACTTCATTAGCGAAAGTATTAGAGTAATCAAGAATGCTCCACCTTTGGCAGAGATCCGAAATTCCAATTGAATTTTGAACGCATTTTCTGCTTTACTAGTTTATTCAGAAGCACTTCTGACGGCATACCGCATACGTCACGGCAATATCGACTTTTGGTTATGACGATGACC